CCACCGCGGCAGCATCGCCGCGCAGCCCGCGCCGGCCTTCCGCGGGCTGCCCTCCTCCGGCCCCGCCGCGCCGCGCCTCGCCTCGCCTCCAGAGTCGGGGCGGCGCGCGGCGGGGCACGGCACCCACCCGGCGCAGCCGGCCCATCCCGAGGCGAGCCCGGGGCTCGGCGTGCGTCCCGCGCAGCCGCCCGGACGCGCCTCGCAAGAGCGGGACGAGCGCGGCCGTGGCGCGGGCACGGGGCACTCCTTGCCCCGGCCCGCTGCCTCCCCGAGCGGGGCACAAGTCAAAAACGCAAAAAGTTGGTTCCAGAGAGGCTTCCTTCATCCTGCGCGGGTGACGCGAACGTGGCTTTGAAAAGCGGCGCAGGGGAGACGGCACCGCTGGGGAGCGCGCCGGGGCGTTCAGCGGCCCCTGGCATCGTCGCAATGCCAGGGCTCAGGCGGGGGACCTCCTCGGCACCGCCGCTGAGCGCTGCGTGGAAGATGCCTTCGCGCAGAAGGAAAACGCAGGTTTGCTCCTGTGCAGATACGCTGGGCCTTTGCAGTGCTGACAGTAGCAAAAAAAACTTGTTTATGTCAGTAAAAAGGGGGAGAGAAATTACAGCCCAAGCAGATGGGACCTGGGAGAAATAGAGTTCCTTTTTTAATGTCATTTTTATAGAATGCATCTCACAGCCAATTGCTTTATTTTAATGCAGACACATAAAGGCAAGAAATTTGGTGCCCTCTGTTCTTGAGCTAGATTAATTTCAGGCAGAAGGCAGGATGAGAGAGGCTGCCAATGCAGCTGGCAGATTTTGCCTTCCATTAAAGGGTAGCAAAATAACTAGCTATTTCATTTATTTATTTTTAATTTCGGGGGAGGGGGAGCATTTGGCTTTTCTGCCCCAGGCACCAAATTATCTCTGTCCCCATCCAAATTATCTTTGTCCCATCCCTTAGCAACTTAATGTGTGGACTTGTGGGTTGAAATACCAAAATATAATATTGGGTGTGATTCAGTCATTTAACTATTTGTAGTTTTGATTGATTTTAGGGAGAGGAATTTGAGCCATATAAAAATGGGAAATATGTGAAACTCCAAGTTACTTAACGTTTATTTATTATTGATTTATGGAATGGACACCTCTCTGAAGCAAACAAAACCCACTGAAAAAAACAATTCAGAATGTTAAACAATCGAACATGCAGAAAAACACTGAAAGCCTGAAAAACCAAAGCAACCATTTTAAACACCAGGTTCCAAGGGGCGCTGATCCCCTTTCTGGAGACCTGTCACCACATCAAAGCGAGTGCGTTCTACAGTTTGAGAGCAACTCAGGAGAAAACCTTTGCTTGCAGACATGACAAATGGGCTTCTGTCAGTGGGGGTGTCTTCTAAAGGGCATCTCCTCCTCCCTGTAAAAACTTAGCAGGTTTACACAAAGATAGCCAGGTCCTCTGCCACCCTAGAGCGTTGGGACACAGTCCTGTGTGGTTGCCTGTAACTCAGAAGTTTACAGATACCCAAGTGGGCATGCTCCCCCCCCCCGCCCTCAAAAACATTTCAACAGCAGATTTCAGCTGCCTAAATGTTTTCTCCCTCCTCATGAGTCTGAGATGCTGAGGCCCTGCCTGGATTTGGTAGAAGCCAGGCAGAGCCTCACCCTTTCCCTCCAGTCTCCAGGGTCACAGACAGAACTGCATCACCTGAGACAGTGTTGGGATAGTGGGAGGCCTCCAAAGGCAGAGTCCCCACCATGAGCTTCTTCCTTTGAGCCTGAAAAAGAATTCACAGACAACAGCTATTTAGGATTGGGTTGACATGATCACAAATACCATGCACCCAGGCTGCTGAATTTTGCACCAGATAGAAACATAGAAACAGAGTGAGTCAGAAGGGTCCTCCCGGGCCATCTAGTCTGACCCCCGGCTCCAGCCAGCTCTGCTCATGACATGCCCGCCATGTGCATGTCTAGCCTATCTTTGAACACCTTCACCAATGGGGCCTCAACCACCCAAGATGAACAAGCAAAGCTTCCAGGCACTCTTCCAGGATAGCTCCACACAGACCTCATTGCAATAGTTTGTGATGTACCAAGGCCTGGATAACTTTGGGCACAACCCGATTTAGAGACAACTAAGTACTACAGCTCCCAACATCCTGGAAGAAGCTGGGAGCTATAGGGCTTATATTTTCCTATGCATGCATAAGATTGCATCTTTAGGCTATAAGTTTAGACTTTTGCTGAAATATGCATCCTTTCAGTGATTCTAAATGTGCTTGCTTGGGTATAACTTTCATGAACTTTGGTGGGATTTCAGTTAAATTTGGCCAGGAATAAAGCCATGGTTGTTGCATTTGCAAGGTTATAATCTTCTGTGAGCAGCTCTACATTTAGTTTCTTAATATCAATTTTTAGAAATTAACTATGCATCTTTCCTGACATTATCAGAAGTATAAATTATTATTTCTAAAAATTGCTTAGTATGTGCTAGGTTCTGTGTACAGCTAGGGAAAAAGTCTGCCTACTGGCTCACAGTCTAAAAATCATGATAGGGATGATTAGAGGAAAAAAGGAAACTTTGCATAAGTCAGGAGAGAATGAAAGAAAGGAACAGTTTAAAAGAATATAGTGATTCATCTAGGAATGAGAAGAAATGGAAGTGGGTCAGTCAAGAAGGAGGGAAAAGAAAGAAAATGAGTGTTGAATTTACAAATAACTGAGAAAAGGGAGGCCTTCTGATTATTAAAGGGCTCAAAGCAGAGTAAAATATATCCTGATTTTTCTTTTCGTGATGCCCCTGTAAATTAGGCTGAAAGATGCTGTGTGGATCGAGGCCATCTAGTGAGTCTCAGAAGAACACACTTGATCCTGAATCTCTCACTTTAACCCTATTGTGTAGTTTTGGTTTTTTTTGGGGGGGGGGTTGTTTTTATATAATCTTTTACGGAATTTGTTATTGTTTTGTTGTTTTTAATTGTATGTGTTGTGAGCCATCCCAAGATGCCGAGGCATGTAGTGACGGCATAGAAAAGTTTTAAATAAATAAATATATAAATAATATTTGGGACTGGTACACTTAAGTCTTCCCCAAAAGTAATAAGCCTTTTGGGTTTTCAACCTGCATCTAAAACCACAGAGGAAGGAGTCATATAAATTCAAAGACCACATACTTTTCATCCATATCAGCTGACAGAACAGTCTGCTAATCTGCTAATTGCTGTCTGAGTGATAAACCAGCATTTGTTAATCAGCCCAGTTTGGTCAAATGCTTTTGTTCCCAGCCTTTGAATCCTAGCACAGCCATGGGCATATTTGATGGCCTTGAGGCAGGCATACTTTCTCAGCCTTATTTTACTATCTGCAAAATGGGAATAAGCATCTACTTCACAAGGGTATCTTTCCTCACCTTTCCTAAGTTTGAGTAAATTCCTGATTTTAAATCTAAACAAATAATCAGAATTATCCAGATTCACCAAAAATGTGCTTTTCATAGAAATGCTTTAGCATGGATTCATTAATATTTCCACTAAACTATGTAAAGTATTCCTGCAGTTTTTGAGTTGGCCTAATAACTATTTTGCCCTCGTACAGTTGTGCTAAACATCTTATTCCTGCAAAATATTTTGAAGTAGAATCGAACTATATTTTGTCTACTTCATAATATCAAAGTAGACTTATCTCTGGGAGGGACTAGCAAACATTCTCAGGAATGTCCAAAAAAGAGTGGCAACTATAAGTACGGGAAGCAGTGGTATCAGTGAATTTAACAAGTATTGGGAGAATATGTCAAAATGATTACAGTTTGTAGTTTGATTAACTGTCAAGACCAGAAATTCAACATGTAAGAAAATGGATTAGATTGTACATCTTTGCACTGGTCCCATTTGATGCAAATCTAAATTCCTGACACAGGGTTTGTTTATAGTTCTGTAAGTGTAAGATAGCCTGTATTGTTACCTCTTACAGGAACAACAGCAACTACCTCCACGTACAACTAAGCTAATCTCCTTTGCTCAGTTTTCTCACTCTTGGCAATTTTTAATGTCCGCATAGAGAATTCATGTAGGGGGATGAACTTCTGCACTGAAGAACAAATTGGAAGGATCAACAGAGCTTTTCAAAAGGTAGCCTATGACCCGTCCACTGAGTGTGTTGCCCTGTGCAAGGTTCATTTGAAGGGCAGCTCTGCAATTCTCAGCATGGCTGGCTGGGGCATGCAGGAAGTTGTAGGATTTCCCCCCCACACACACTAAAATGCATCCTTAAAGTGCTGTCCTTGTGCAACTCGTATCTTCCTTCTCCAGCACATTGCATCGCATCTGCTAGGACCGCCTTCCCAGACCTGATACATCTGGGCGGCACCAGATTAAGAAAGGCTTCGTTAGGACATTAATTCTCAAATTCTGTGCTGGCCTGTAAGTGGACTGTAAGACGGGTGGGTGGGAGCCAGAAGATTGTCAGTTTGCTCCATTGTCAGTTTGTCCCACTCTTTTATGCTTTTTGCAACAACTAGGCCCTGTGCCGTATCGATCCCAGTAAGCAGGCCCCGATGTCCTAGCTAGGGAAGGTGCAGAAAGAACCTTGTATTCCTCAGTGCGGCTAATGGGCAGAGGGACATCTCAGAAGATCTGACTGGGCACAGGAGAGGCAGGAACACCAAAAGCTATATCAACTGGCATAGCTCTCTGCTGCAGGGAGAGAACCTACCCATTATTCTAAGAGGCAGTGGAAGGGAAACTTAATCCATTCAGAATGAAAGAAACGAAACCACTGGTGCCCCAGGAATCAAAAGTCTGGGAAAGGCTGCCATCCGGAACCCTATTTGCCAAAACAGCAGTGCTGCCGAAAGCAAAAGTGGAGAGGGTCGCTGCGTGATATGGATGAGTTGCATTGTTGCTGTTCTTTCTCTAGTGCTGAAGTTGGCGTGGCTTGGCTGGAAGAATGCGTTGCGGGGGAGAGGTGGCCCATATTCTTAAGCATCCTTTGCTGAAGAGAGTCTTTCTCTTTCTCCAGATCTAAGCTGTCGGGGGATATGCAAAGGAGCTCATCTAGGAAACGCCTCAAATGTTGCAAAATGGCCCTCACAGCATTTCTTCATCCTGCAGTCAATCCTATCAAGCCAATTCTTCTTTTTCAATGGGTCACCCCCATCTACCGGGGAAAGAGGAACCAATGGAAGAGTTGGCTTTTGATCAGGTACATTTCTGTTGCTTTAGCCTCTACATCCAGTCACGCCACACTAACATAGACGCACTTACATATAAATACATATAGTGACACAGACCCGTTTGCAGAATCATGCCGTAGGGAATTGCTCTGGTCTGACAAGTAACATCATTTTTTCCATTTAAAAATGCTGTGCATTTTTGCAGCTATACTAGCAATCAGCACTGAGGAATATTGAGTATCTTATATGTGGGAGAAATCAGACCAGTGCATAATACGACTTAAAATATAAATATAAAATATATATATAATATATATATATATATATATATATATATATATATATATATATATAAAATATAAAAAAGCCAAAGCTCCCAAAATGCTAGTATTCTCCCACAAGTAAGACATCCAGTCTTCCTCCCTGCAGATTGCTGTGGAGAGAGAGAAAATAACCATTCTTGAGTTATTTTCCGTGCTTCCATGGGCATGGTATCAAAATAGGGGTTCTAAAGCAGCAATCCTGTTCCCATTTATCTGGGAGTAAGTTCCATTGAATTCAACGGGCCTCCCTCTAAGCAAGTATACAGTGCCTTGCTGTGGTATCCATCCCTTTTTGACGCTTCCACATTTATTATGTGTTATAACCCGAAACTGAGACGGATTTAATCGGCATTGCTACCACCTGACGTATACAAGCTATGCAACATTGGGAGTGTGAAGGTATTTTTACTATGGCGCAAAACCTAACAGGTACCTTCAGTTAGTTGGACATTATAATTATTATTGTTATCATTGCCATAACATTACCTTTAAAGCAGCCTAAGGAGCATACAAGTTTCTTTTCTTCTCCATTTTATCCTCAAACAACATTTTATCCTACCTGTGAGGTAGGTTAGGTCAAGAGACTGCAACTATCCCACAGTTGGCTCTATGGCTGAGCAAGGACTAGAACCCAGATCGCCTGAGTCCCAATCCTGTGCTCTTGTCACCTCACAACACTAGAGTTTCAATGTTTCAATTATTTTTATATATGGTGTTATAAAAACTGCAGATGACTAGTTGCCCCCTTGGAAGAGACATTCAAGTGTGCGGGTATATAAGCACATATACAATCATAGTCTCAGCCACTTAATGAACTGGTTAATTAGCTTAAACATGTATGGTTAACTGGCCATTCTAATTCCTTTGATCCTGTGAATGCCTTATTAATGATGCCTTCTAAAAGTCTGCGCTCGCAACTGACTGAGCACTCAGGGAGCCACCTGCAGCACCTGAAGACAGACCTAGGAGAGTCTTCTGACCATCTCGACATTTACTGGTGGACGCTCGGGACTGCTGAGGAGATAAACTGTATGTGAAAAATGTTACCTCGTGATGCTACAGCCAGAAAAGGACAGAAAGGCGTCCTCACTCGGGTGCTGCCTTCTGGCTTCAGGCTGAACCCAGGTAGTCTTGCATGGGAAAGACACGTCAGCCCAGCATGCTGAGTTTCCCAAGTGTTGCCCTACAGCTTTAAGGCGCCTCCGAAGAAAGCAAAAGCTGCATAAGAATGAGCAACCCTGCTCAGCTGGGAATGGGAAACAAAGCAAAGAAGGGAAAGGCGACATTGTGATGGGTGTCTAAGGACAGTATAGCGCCCCAATGTTTATGCGGGTTGGATATCTCATTTATGGATACTTCAGGTAAGACCCTGTAAAGCCAGTAACCCATAGACAGCCCAGTAACCCCTTCAGCACAGTCGCAGAACGTTCTGTCCAGGACAGCCCTTCTCAGCTTTTGCAAGCTCTTGGCTGTGAATCCATCCATCTGGCCTTCGGTCTTCCTTTTCTTCTTCTGCCTTCAACTTTCCCTAGCATGATGGTCTTCTCCAGGGAGGCTCGTCATGTCAGGATATACCCAAAGCTGGATAGCCTCAGTTTCATCATTTTTGCTGCAGGAGCAAGTTCTGGTTTGATTTGATCGAGCAACCCCTTGTCCATCTCTCTGCCAGGCCAGGGAATTCACAAAGCTCTCCTCCAACACCATTTTGAATGCTTCGGTTTTCTTCTTGTCAGCTTTCTTCCTGAAGGGGAATGCCCAAAAGTGCAACCGTCTCTCTGCAGTTTGAAATGTGATGCCTCATCAGTGAATCCTACCGCATCAAATGTGCAGAACAGCTCATAAAAATCCTGGAAAACAGCAGAATTTTTTTCACTTTTCCCTATTCCTTCCCTGTTTGAAAAGCATGTTTCAGCTTTCTGACTGGGAAGGAATGCTCTCTGTAGATAAGTAGACTGGAACTTCAGCCATGGGCATTCCTTGCCTCTGGAAAGCCTTGCTTTCATCTGCCCCAGCCTGCCCAGGCACGCTTCTCCTGCTTTTCCTAACGTTAGCAACTTCATATAAAGGAAACTTGTATAAAATGTTTTATAGATGGTATCTGTCGCCAAATAGACTAGCTAAGATGTTTCCAAATATGTCAAATGGATGTTGGAAATGCAAACATAAACTGGGTACTTTTTATCATATGTGGTGAACTGGCGGAAATGCGAAAAAGTATTGGATTAAAATACATAAATGACTTGAGGAAATGTTACAAAAACCTTTAGCTTTTAAGCCTGAAGTCTTCTTATTAGGCATTATACCTGTTGATATTAGTAAACAAGAAATGCACTTGATTTTACATGTAATTACTGCGGCGAGGATTGCATTTGCTCAACACTGGAAAAGTGAAGAACCACCCACCGACGAACTGATCCTAAAAAAGATCTTGGACTGTGCAGAAATAGATAGATTGACTTTATCATTGAAGGAGAAAGAAGATACTGACTTCTGTCAAACTTGGGACTCTTTTTATTATTGGCTAGAGAAACGGGACTTCGTATAGATTTAAATATGTTTTTAAGTTATCATAAATGGAAAAAAAATGTGGGGGCTGACCCAGCAGGCTCGATGTTTTTGATGGTTGATGTTGTTTTTAGTTTTTCTTTGTTTTTTAGGATTATAATTTCAATTAAAACATTATTATATAAAAAAGCGTGCCTCTCCTGCTGTTGAGATGTGTGGCTTCCCTGGCCTACTTTGTTCTCTGGTGTGCGATGCATCCCCAGAAACTAAGGCAAGCTTAGGAGAAACAGGCCATGTGTGGCCATTCCCTCTTCCCAGAAATTCCCAGAATACCCCCAACAACCTGGTGAAGCTACCACCCTCAGGGGCGCAGAGATCTGGGATCCTAGTTTCACTGCAGGTTGGGTAACACCCTCCCTGTTCTTTGTATCAGTCCTTTTATTGGCTTCCCAGGGTTATCAGGAGACGTTAAGCGATTCAGCCAGGCGACCTAGCAGAGGTTCCTGGAACAACAGGCACTTGGTTGGTGGCCTTTCCTTCGCACCCTGAAGAGGTCCCATCTTATTAAGGCATCTTGTGGAGCAAGGGAGCGGGGCTAGCGCCATGGTCTGCATGTCGAAGGTCCGAGGATCTCCAGGCAGGGCTGGAGAAACTCCAGGTGGAAGCCCAGGAGACCTCCTGCTGGCCAGAGTTGACAGCACTGCAGTGGTTGTATCGATGGCCTGACACAATACAAGGCATGTTTCTGTCCCTCGAGGGCACCTAGGATTGCAGTCTATGGCCCATTCATTGGGAACCACCCAGTGGGTTTCAGCTGTGGGGTGGCACAGAAATTTATTTATTTTTATTTTATTTAAAACATTTCTATGCCTCCCCATTCGCCGAAGCCTCGGGGCGGCTCACAACATAAAATATAAAACATTCAAATATACAATAATCATGTAATAGAATCCAGTGCACCTTTGTCCGAGAGCAAGCCCTGCAGAACAGAGCTGTGCTTGCTTCTGCACCGGGCAGCATAGTTTGCCCGTAACATCACACATGCTGGTAACAGCCTGCCAGCTCCGTCCGTTTCATGCCCTGCCCAAAGGGGAGATTTTCTGTGGCTACCTCCTCTCTAACAGCTGTCTGCCCAGCTTCTCCTTGCCGACAAGGAAGGAAAGGATGCAAAGTTGCTTATTCATCTGCTTTTATCTTGCCTTCTTTTATAAGAGGGGGCTTAAGCACCCTCCAGCAAGGTGGCAAAATCAAATTACCCCTGAGAAGCAAGGCCACGCCAAAACTGCCTTCCACATGGCACGCCAGCCCCCAGCCCACTGCTAATTCTGCTCTGTCATACAAAGGGGCAGCTCAGAGAATTACCTGGTCAACAGATCCAGGCAGGATTAGAGAGGGCAGGACAAAAGGCCTCCAGAAGAAATGGCCTGTAGCCAAAGCGAGCTTGGGCCCCGCGCAGTGGTGGGGAGCTTGTGCAGCTGACAGGGTTCCTCATAAAGGAGAGAGAGGAGAATGTAAGTGTTGCCAGAGGTCTGCCTAGGATGATGGGAGATTGGCACAGAGCAGGCAGCAGCAAATGATTCATAGCCAGCGCTAGGAGGACTGATCAACACAGCTTTATCTTATCCGCTCAAGCCAAAGCGTCAGGTTTCTGCCAAGAAGAAAAAGAGCACAGCAAAACAATGCGTTACTTTAAAAGGGACGAGCTTTGAATGCTGCTCTGAGCAGGCAGAGCAGGCAGGAGGCCTTGGGCAGATTTCTGCTGTTGCCTATCCCTCCCCACGCAGCTGCTGAAAGCAAAAGGATTTAGACAACCTTTTCGGTGTGCTCCCCTTTCCTCAGCTGCAGACTTTTACCTGGGAAGGTGCTGAGTAAGCCACAGTGCTCCGGGCAAGAGAAACCCAGCCTGTGCACCGAGGCAGTCAAAAACCTGGATCCAGAAATGGTAAGCCGCCTGGCCCAAGGCGCTTTTATGCCTGAGCTGGTGGGCAATGCAAAGAGCACCCCCCCCCCTGCACACACACACTGCTTAGCAGGGATTACCGGTCCACAGGGACTCCGTGGCATGAATGGAAACGGCATTTGCATGTCCTTAAGACATTTTGGGGGGAAAGCTGACGAACATCTGCCATGGACATTTAAGCTCCAGGATTGCTTCAGTGCAGTCCTGCGCTCCTTTAGGCAGAAGCAAGTCCCACTAGCAGCGAGTGGGATGGATTCACTGGATTCCTTCCAGATCGATGAGCATGTATTACTTTACGGACTCAAACTTCCCAGGAGACCTTACTTTGGTGTCTTCCGGCCCAGCAGCCTGAGGGTGTTTGCTCCAAGCGACACAGCCTCTGAGTGG